AGGGACCGGCACTGCTGGGAAAGAGACTGTGAGAGACTCTTGGCTGAGGGACGGTGGGCTGGGAGAGAGACTGAGCATTCTTCCTGGACTTGAGTTGTAGCCTGGTGCTTCCCTAATAAACCCCATAATCTGTGAAATGAGAAGCCCCTTAATCTGTCTCTCTGAGTTTCCTAATGTGCTATTAGGGTCCCTCTCTGATCCTAAAACTTTCCTGTTGTTGTTGTTATATGCTGTCCAGTCGGCCTGACTCATAGCAACCCCTCCTTGGGTTTCCAAGGCGGTATCACTACTGAAGTAGGATTGCCCAACCTTCATTTGGAGGAGTGGCTGGTGGGTTTGAATCACCAGCCTTCTGGTTAGCAGTCAAATGCTTTAGGCACTATGCTACCAGAGCTCCTAAAACTTTCCTATCAACAAGGAAAGGGAGTGAGTGATATACATTTATACAAATCCCCACCACTTCAGCTGACTTACATTCAAGTATATGAAATAACAACCCAATTTTATTCCTGCCTTGAAGAAAATTCACCATACAATCTATTTGTCCCTTAGATTACATGTGCATTTACATAGATGCACTTGGAAGCAGGATTACTTTAATATTTTATTCAATATACTTCATAGTTAAAAAATTCATTTTAAAATATGAAAGATACATCTACTACTCAATGATGGAAGTATGAGTGTAGAAGGGAATTTTGCCTTTTTTTGTAACTATAAATTCCAAACATTTGTTGAATGAATTAATCTTCCAATTGTTTATTGCCCACTAAGAAAATATGATGATGTGTAAATGTTTGTATACTCAGTCATAAATTTTATAATGTGTCCTCAATTTTAAATTGCCTGTAAAACAAAGAAAATTACTGATTTACTAATAGCTTTTAATAAAAATGCAAACAATAACTATATACATGAACTATACAGTTTTTTCCATTTGAATAATAAAAATGTGTCATTTAATGTTGAGGAAATATAATTAGTTTATCATTTTATACACAACAGATATGAGGAATCTGTCATGTGGTCATTACATTGGATTTTAAAGTTATTGCAAACAAGTTAACTTTGGGACACATGTCCTCCTTCTCCTTCAGTTTGGGGGCGCTTTGTGCACTGTGTTAAGGATGAACTTCCAGTCTTGGTTTTTTAGTTGGAGTGCTTATAATTAAAGTCCAGTAAAAAACATTTCACTACTTGCTTCACTAAAATTTATAAATAATAAAGGAAAGCATAAAAATCTAGTCGGTATAAAAATTACTATGCATTGTTTTTTTATATATATAGTGAATATGACAAATGTGTGGAAAGTAATAGAGAATAATGTAACAAACACCTGGGAACCAAGCTCTCTTTTAATTAAAGCTTAAAAATTTATGTATTTTCTGAGATTGTGATAGGTGTTAGTATTGAGGGATCTTATTACACTCCTATTGACAAAGAAGCCAGTTTCTATTCATTTCATTATATTTTAAAGGTAACATTCATAGAAATCAATTTATAATACATCAAAATATTTCAATCACTACTTTGACATCAATGTCTAAAACCTAAAATCCATTGCCTTTGACTTTATTCCTACTTGTGGTGAACTGTGTTTCAGAGTTAACCTGTGCCTTATAGGGTTTTCTTGGTTATTTTATGGAAGCAGATCTCCAGATCTGTCTTCCATTGTCCTGCTGTGTGTGTTCAATCTTAGTGGTCAAAAACAAAACATTTGCACCACCTAGGACCCTAAAATGTATAGAATACTTAAAAACATACAAAATCCCAAATCTTCAGAAAGTTAAAGTAATGAAATACTTGTTTATAACCAATAATTATTTTACCACGTAAATATTTTATTGTTTTCCTTTTGAAATAATGTTTTAGATATAGTTTGCATCTTTTATTTTTATCTTACTCTCATTACTTTTCTCTCTATTCCATAGTCTTTAATTGGCAATATATATTCATTACTATAACTCTTTCATTCTATTCTTATATATATGTATATCCATAAATAGTATACTGTGTTATTCTGAATATTCAAATATCATATAATTAGGTGCATGTTATAGGTAATATTTTTGAAACTTGTTTCCTGTTTGTTATTGTTCAAAATTATATTGAGATTTTCCATATTGATATGTGTAGAACTATTGCATACAGTTTAACTACTATAAAATATTCCATTCTGCACACATGAGTACAAAACAACATCTTTTATATGATTTAATTTGTGTTTCCATGATTAGTAAGTTTGAGCATGTTTTTCAATTGGTGAATGGTCATTAGTTTTCTTGTTCTACAAACTGCTTATGCATACACTTTGCTCATAATCTTATGTTGTATTGATATTTTTTGGTAATTCATTCTTAATGACAGATAGTAATCATCTATGATTTACATTGTGAGTATTTAACTTACTATTTGAATTTGTGTGGAGTAGTTTTTCTTTTAATTACTCATCTTAAGGATAGAGTGAACTATTTCAAACTGACAGTATTACTTACAGCATTTGATAAAAAGATTATCTGCAAAATTTGTAACAAAATCAGAAGTGAGGCCTTTCTTATAATTAATGATAACCACATTTCATATTTGCCTAGTCACAAGGGATACCACTATGTGATTTGTAGTGTTTATCACTATTGAAATGATATAATTAAAGAAGATTTAGTCAAAAGAGATGATCAGGAAGCGGGTTTTAAAATTATTTGTTTGGTTTGTTCAATTTGATTGAAAATGGCATTGATTTGGAACAAGTCAAATTGTTTTGAATATTTTGGAGTCATATAGAAAGAATCAAGTATTCAGATGACTTTAATTCAGACAACCATGTATGTTTTAAACTTACAGATAATCCATTGAAAACAAAATCCATTGATAATCATCAATTAAAAATATAAATTCCTTTAATTTCATTGATTTATTTTGGTTAAAATTATTTCCAATTGAAAAAGCAAAACAAAACAAAAAAAGCAGAATTAAGAATTAAGAGGTTAGGAGCACTGACCCAACCCTGGAGATTGTCATGATTTGAATGCCAACCCAAGCTCCTACTTTATGAGGTGACCTCAAACCAAAAAACCAAAACCAACTCACTGCCATCAAGGTGGATCTGACTCATAGCGACCCCTCCTTAGGTTCCCCAGGCAATATCACTACAGAAGTAGATTGCCCAACCTTCCTTCTGAGGAGTGGCTGGTTGGTTTGAACCGCCTGCCTTCTGGTTAGCAGTCAAATGCTTAGACACTACACCACCAGAGCTCCCTCAGGCAAGTTAATTCATCTTATTTGTTCCTCAGTTTCTTTCTCTGTAAAACTGAAATAAGAGTAGCATATTTACTTCACAATGTCATTGTAAATAGTAGATGAGTTAAGATAGATACAGTGAAGAGAATAGCATTTGATATAAAGATGGTGCTACAAAATTGTTGTGCTGCTATTTTGTCTATTTTTGTGTCTTGTGAATTTACACAAAATAAACTTTCTTCTTATCTCTACCAGAACAATTCATAATGAGTTTTAAAATCATATCTTTTATTCTTTCCATGTCTGAAGCTATAAACTTCCATTTTAAAATGGCTTACCACTAAAATTATTGAGCAGATACCTAGCAGGGGCTACTCGTGACATGTAACCAGCTATAATTCCAAACTTTCGTATTAAAAAAAAAAAAAAACAGTTTATATAAAATGCAAATTCTTAGTTTCATCCCACTAGTTCTCATTTAGTAGCTATATCTTAGAACTTAAGATTGTATATTTTATTCAAGAACCACAGATGATTTGATGAAAAAGGTCTTAATCTCACATTCTGGAAATACTGTATAGTAGATACATGTTGTTGTTGTTGTTGTTATGTGCCATGGTTGGCCCCGACTCATAGCGGCCCCTCCTTGGGTTTCCGAGGCAGTATCACTATGGAAGTAGGATTGCTCAACCTTCCTTCAGAGGAGTGGCTGGTGGGTTTGAACTGCCAGCCTTCTGATTAGCAGTCAAGTGCCTTAGGTACTATGCTACCAGAGCTCCCAGTAGATACATAGTACTAGTAAAAAAAAAAAAAAAAAAACTCTTTGAAATTACTTAACTATCAAAGGTTGAGATATAACCCTTGCAGAATCCTTCCATTTTATGAACCCTATTCACCACCATCCCATTTGCTTCAGCAGTGTAGGAGATATCCAATGAACTCCTAGTTAAATTAAGGTAAAAATGATTCCAACAGGAATGTATTACTAAAATATTTCATTCATTTTTCTTTGCCTCATTTTAATTGGTGCACTTTTTTTTTTTTCCTTCAACATTCAGAACACAGATTTCACTGTCAAATGGACAATCTCACAGAAGTAACAGAATTCCTGCTCACAGGGTTTTCTGATATTTGGGAGCTCCAGATACTGCATGCTGGACTCTTTCTGTTGATTTACCTGGCAGCACTGGTGGGGAACCTTCTCATCATGATGGTCATTACTCTAGATCAGTGTCTTCACACACCCATGTACTTCTTCTTGAAGAACCTCTCCTTTTTAGATTTGTGCTATATCTCAGTTACTATGCCTAAGTCCATTCACAGCTCCCTGATGCACAACAACTCCATCTCTTATCTTGGCTGTGTGGCCCAAGTCTATTTTTTCTTTGCTTTTGCATCTGCTGAGTTAGCTTTCCTCACTGTCATGTCCTATGACCGCTATGTTGCCATTTGCCATCCTCTTCAATATGGAGCCATGATGACATCAGAAAAATGCCACCAAATGGCAGCCATAGCCTGGCTAATTTGTTTTTTCTATGCTGCAATCCACACTGGCAACATATTTTGGGAGCCCATTTCAAGATCTAACAGGATCCACCAATTTTTCTGTGACATCCCTCACATGCTGGCCCTGGTTTCCTGTGAAGTTTTCTTTGTTGAGTTTGTGACTCTGGCTCTGAGCTCATGCTTGGTCATGGGATGCTCTATTCTTATGATTTTTTCATATTACCAGATCTTCTCAGCAGTGTTCAGGATCCCTTCCGTAGAGAGCCGAGCAAAAGCCTTTGCCACCTGCTCCCCACAACTCATTGTCACTATTCTCTTCCTCACCACAGGACTCTTTGCTGCCTTGGGACCAATTGCTGAAATGTCATCTATTCAAGATTTAGTGATTGCTATGGCATATACAATTTTGCCCCCCTTCCTCAATCCTATCATATATAGTCTTAGAAATAAGGAGATCAAAGCATCTGTGTGGAGACTGTATGAGAAGATGTATCTTCTGCAGAATTAGAAACTTCTGGGCTTAACTAGCCAAGGGTCTGTATCAACAGGTCTTCTGTTACCATAGCATGATTTTGAAATTCTGTACTTTTTCTTTATCCTCCAAATCACTTCGATAATTATCTGTTCCTAATACGTTTGTTAGACCACATTCATAAGCTTGGCCATTAGGCCCCTTTTGAAGATGTTGATGAAAATTTCCTTTTTTATAGTGGTAGTTTCTTTTTTGTTTTTTCTAAACTCCTACCATGTAAAATTTAAAATTTTTATTTTTCTGAAATAATCCACTCCCCCCCTTGGATTTCTAAATGTATTAGTATCTGAAGTTATGTTCACAGTTTTACTTCTAATATTTTAAAAGTTTGTGTTCTCACAAATTTGGTCTTCATTGATCAGAATTTTCAAACCATATGGCTAATTATTAATGTTTTAACAAAAAATATATATAAAGATATTTTATGTACTTATTTTTTGTTTATACAAACAAAATACACATTTTTGTTGTATACTTCTATGAGTTTTTACAAAGTACTGGAGTAATTTATCCACTGATGTAATATATACATACACAATGGTTCAGTCACCCCAAAATATTCCCTCAGGCTGCACATTTGACATCAGTTTCTTCCCTGACTATAATCCCTGGCAATCTCTGACCTGTATTTTGCTCTATAGTTTGCCTTTTCCAGAATGACATGTAAATGAATCATATAATATGTAGTCTCTTAAGGCTGACTTCTTTCACTTAGCAAATATGTTTGACAACAATCCAGGTTGATGTGGACATTAATATTTTGTTGCTTGTTATTGCTGAGTTTTTCATGACAATTGTCTGAATAGAGAGTCCTCCCTTCAAGGAGATGAAGGTTTGAGAGGCTCAATTTAGACTCTATAAAGAAAACAGCTTCCTGAGCCATTTAAAGATACATATATGAAACTAAACACTTAATAAATAAATGAAAATAAACAACAGTCTCTGATCTCTAAATCTAATCTCTAAAGTAGTGGATGAAATAACAAGAAAAATATTTTAAGTATTGTATATAGAAATATCTTGGCATGACTAAAAAACCACTGATCTTTTCATTTTATAGTTACACTTTTTCCAGATTGTCATATTGTTGAAATAACACAGTAAGTAGACTTTTCAGACTGTTTTTTTTCATTGACAATATGCAGTTGAGGGTCTTCCATTTTCTCTTGTGGCTTCACATCTTACTCTTTATTATTGCAGAATAATATTGCATTGTATACATGCACCACAATTTGTTTATCTATTGGCCTTTAAAAAAAAACTTAATTGTAATTTGAGTGAAAGTTTACACAGTCAATTGGTTTTCCATTAAACAGTTGATACACATTTGGTTCCATGGCATTGACTGAATTTCCCACAATGTAACATCACTTGCTTCCCACTTCCTCCCTGTGGGTTATTTCCCTTTGTCTTTCTTTCCTACCGATTCCTAACTTTGAGCATAATCCCTGCACAAATCCTGCCATTTTGAGCCATTATGATTGATTTTTCTAATGAGTAAGCACCTCCCTGGTGTTATAGTTCATCTCATAGAGTCTTTTTATTGTTTGGCTAAAGGTTGAGCCATGAGAGTGAGTTCAAGTCCAGGCTTGAAGAATAACTAAGGGCCATAGTCTTGGGGATTACACCAGTCTTAATCTGACCAGTAAGTCTGGTGTTTTTTATTATTTTGAGTTTTGTTCCACATTCCCCACCCACCCACACACACACTCTATCAAGGATCTCCTAATGTGATCCTTTTAGCCGGTCACTATATAATTCTTCTGGTCTCAGGGTCAAGGAGGCTGAGGTTCGCAAGGTCCACTAGTTCCTTGTAATACCACAACAGTTCAGTCTGTGTTTTTATGTTTATTGAGGTTTGTTTTGTGGCCTAGAATATGGTCTGTTGAGAAGATTAGTATTGTGCTGTTGTTGGATGGTGTGTTCTGTATATGTCCATGAGTTCAAGTTGATTGTGATTAGATCTTCTACATATTTTTCTTTCTAGTTGCTGTGTCCATCATAGAAAGTGATATTTTCTTCAACTGCTATTGTAGAACTGTCCGTTTTTCTTTTCAATTCTGTTAGAATAACTTTTATGTATTTTGGAGCTTTGTAATTGGGTACAAATATATTTATTATTTGTATGGCTTCTTGTTGAATTTATCCTTTAATCATTATATAATGCCTTTCTCTATCTCTTATAATGGATTTTGACTTAAAATCTATTTTTTTTCAAATAATTATTGCTATTCTGACTCTTTTTTGTTATTGTTTGTTTGATATATATTTTTCCTACCCTTTGATTTTTAACTTACTTATGTCTTGATGTCTAAAATGTGTCTCATATAGGTAACATAGTGATGATTCATATTTTATTATTCACTGTCACTGTCAATTGACTTGTGCATTTAATCTATTCATATCCAGTGTTATTACCAACTGGTGTGAAATCATTGTTATTTTGTTGTGTGAATGTGTATGTGTATGTGTGTGAGGTGTTAACAGTTTCTTTGTTCCTCTTAATTTTATGTGCTGAGTTATTTTTGTAGGGGTATTTTTCTTTCTCAACATGTATTATTGTTGTGCTTGAGTTTACTTAGTCTTTTTAATTTTTTTAATTTTGCTGAGTTGATTCATTAGTTTCCTTTGTGGATACCCTAATGTGTGCCTTTATCCTCTTAAATTTAAAACAAGTTAAATTCAAATTGGAATAATCTTGAGTGCCTCTCCATATAGATTTTCTATAACTGCACATTTCATATTTCCTTAATGTTTTGAGGTTGTGGTAGTTTTCAGCCTAACTCCTCTATTTTCCCTGTAGTTTTATACTTTTTCTTTTTTTTTTACTTGTGAGAAATATATTTTTGTGTTGGTATCTGAGTGATGATTAGTCTTTTTCTAGATTAGTAATTAGTCTTTATCTCAAGTGGTTGTCTGCTGTTAGTTCTCTGTCTGAAGAACTCCTTTTAATATATCTTCTAAGACTGATCTAGTTTATACAAATCCCTTTGATTTCTGCATATCTTGGAAGGTCTTCACTATTGTTTTTGAGAGAAAGTCTTTCTGGGTATATGATTCTTGGTTGAAAATTCTTTTCTTTCTAAATTTTATATATGCATCTCATTGCCTTCCTGCCTACACTGTTTCTGATAAGAAATCAACTAGTCTAATTGGTGCCCTTTTGTAAGTGATGTTTCATTTTTCGTGAGCTGTTTTTAAGAGCCTTTGATTTTGGAAAGCTTGATTGTGATGTGTTGGTGAAATTATTCTGCAGTCTGTTGTTGTTAGTTGTTGTTAAGTGCCATCAAGTCGTTTCCAACTCATAGTGACCCCATGCACAGCAGAACGAAACACAGCCCAATCCCGCGTCAGCCCCACAATCTCTGCTATACTTGAGCCCATCATCACAGCCACCATATCAATCCATTTAGTTGAAGGCTTCCCCCTCTTTCGTCGACCCTCCACCCTACCAAGCATGACATCCTTCTCCAGGGAATGGTCCCTTCTTACAACATGACCAAAAT